GATTGCAGGTGTACGAGAGCGAAGGGGTTATGCTAACGCTAATACTATTCTGGGAAAGTCTAACAAACACGCGCTTCAGGCTCTACCAAATAAACAATTAACAATTAATACAATGCGATTATAATGCTAGACAATGGGGTGAAAGGGATTTAGTTGATTAGATTTGGCTTCGATTGCGGATATTGTTAGTAGAAATGCGGCGGCGGCAACGTTTGCGAGGGCAACGTCGTCGGCTGCTGCTCCCATCAGACAACAGAATCCTTGCGAATCCTGCACTCGAGATAGCATGTGTTCGGGGGGAGAAAGAGACAAGACAACGGTATTTCATCAGCAATGGAAGGGCTAGGAGTTGGAATAGTTTCAGGGATTTTGTTGCTTAAAACTGTTTTCGCACCACATATAGTTCTCAGTCTGGGGGGCCCGCATAACGCCCACGCCGCCGCCCAGTCGGCGGTAGTTCATGCAGCCGCACAAACGCCATTGGTTCGTCTCTGGGTCGTAGACCTCGATGGTTTTCAAATAGGCGGACCCATCAAAACCGCCCACCGCATACAGCTGTCCATTCACGACGGCCAGGCCAACCTACAACGACACGATTTCATTGATTTGAATATCATTCGGTGTGGAGAAGTGGATAAATCAAACTCACCCCACTGCGACGAGAGGTCATGGCCACGATGGGGCTCCAGGTGTTGGTCAGTGGATTGTAGCGCTCGGCGGACGAGAGCTCCATGCAATCGTCCCGTCCGCCGACGGCGTAAATGTAGTTGTTGAAGACAGCGCAGCCCAGGTGCTTGCGTCGCGTGGACATTGGACTGACGGCCACCCATTTGTTGTGTCTATAATAATTAAATCAAGGCACTTTAAATCCATTCTGAGAGTGAGTTTAAGTGCAATCAACCACTCTGTTGCCGCTCTTAAAAAGAAACCGGGGCAACAAGAACTATATTTGGAGCATTTATTTTTAAAACGAAGTGGTCCCTCTGCTCGAATATATATACTTTAGTTTAGGGATATTTTTAAAACAAATGAAAACAAATTTACCAAATTTAATTGTTGGATAGTCATTAGGGGTTTCAAAATTAAAAAAGTAGTTCTTAGGGAACTTTAAGAAATCGAATTTTTTAAAAATGAAATCTTTTAGTTATTATAATGGTTAGACCTTTTAAGAAAATGATGTAAAATTTGTTTGCCCTTAAAACCATTTAGGGGATTGCAGTATTCTTAGTAACTTTTTGTATAAGTATACTTTGATTTTATCGAATAAATCTTGATGTTTTATTTACCTGGGATCGTATCGCTCAACAGTGTTTAACGGACATTGTCCATCGGAGCCACCAATTGCATAAAGGTATCCTCCAAGGACAGCTACAGCCACACCCAGCCGTCGTGTGGTCATCGGGGCCACCTTTGACCATTTGTTCTCCTTGGGGTCGTACCGCTCCACATGATTCAAGCACTGAACGCCGTCCTGGCCACCCACCGCATACAGAAAGCCGTCGAGCACGGCCACGCCCACGCTGGTACGGCAGGAAGTGGTAGGCGCCACGTCGCAGGACCACTGATTGGTTTGCGGATCATACCGCTCGATGCTGTTTAGATAGCTCTGGCCGTCGTGACCGCCCACTGCATACAGCAAATCATTCAACACGGCCACGCCGACTCCGCAGCGGCGCTTGCTCATAGGAGCGACCATTTTCCAGTCATTTGTCTGCGGATCGAAGCGCTCCACGGAGGCTATGGCATCGCCGGAGCACCAGCCGCCCACGGCGAACAGCACTTCACCTCGTCGGGTCGGTTTGCGAGGTCTGGTGCGCGGACCCTGCATCAGCGGTCGCTCCTGCGGAAGCAGCAGATAGTTCTTGGCCTCGTCCACCAGATCCCGGCAGGCCTCGTCGCTGCGGACCAGGAGATCAGAGCCCACCGTGCCCACCAGGAACTTTGGGGAGAGTAGAGGCAGACGGACATGTTGTAGTACCTGAAAGAAAGCGGGAATGTTTAAGTTTTTTATGTATGATCGAAATATATGCAGAAGTATCTTTAATAGTAACTAAATTTCTATAGGCAAAACTTCTAAGCAAAAATTCTCTTTTTATTAGGATTCCATTTTGTGACTAGCTGTATAACCAAGCTTTTTAACTTCTTTTTTTTGACAGATTTATTCTTTTTAAATGATTTTATAGTTCTAAGAGTTAGATACCCTTTATTTTAAAGAACTTAGCTCACCTGTGCCAGGTGCTGTCGCCGCTCGGCGACATTGTACTTGAGCCAGGACATGACAGCGTTGAAGACCTGCTCCTCCGAGCGCACGTTCAGCTCGTCGCTGCAGATGATGTCCACCAACTGGCCGACTGGCAGCAGCAGGAACTCCTCGCTCTCCATCACCTCCTGGAAGTTGTGCTGCGTGAACTTGTCAGCGATACGCAACAGTTCCCGGCAGGAGTGTGTGTCGGCGAAGGCGCGGATGCCCAGGCAGTTGGTGGGGTCCAATTGACGCTTGAGGAACTCGCAGCAGATGTCTTGAATCTCAACCAATTGAAGCAGACAGGCGGCGGGCAGGAGCGTTTGGACATTGGACTCCTCGACGATGATGTGGGCGGTGTAGCAAAAGTCAATAAGCAGCTCCATGGCGTTCTCGTCGATGTCGCGTATAGTGACCTCCGTCTGGCGCGATTCCTCCAGTTCGCCAGTGAACATGGCACAGAAGTAGGAGCTGCAGGCGGACAGGATAACCCTGTGGGCGAAGATCTTCCGTCCGCCCACGTTCAGGACCACATCGCAGAGCTCCCGATGGCGCCGCAGCATATTGAGTTCCGTGAGCGTGACCTTCGGATGTTTTTCGGAAGTGTGAGAGAGGCGGGCGGGCGACGGAGGTCGGTCCACTGCCGTCGATCCAACGGAGGAGCCGCCACCAGCCGTGGAATTACCACCTGTTCCGGTGACAGCTGTTAAGAAAATAAAATAGAAAAGACAGATTCGAGTTAGAAAATGGCAAACCAAGAATGAAAGTCAGAAGTGTTAAATATGACGGGACTCAATGGTAAGTTTTGAGCTTTAGAAATTGGATGAAGCCAATAAGCAAAACAAGAAATAGGCGTCCGAAAGTAATTGCAAAAAGACAGTTATGCTTTTTCAAGGCTTGCCACTGTCAGAATGACAGTTGAATTTTAAAGCTACACATACAGAAATCAATGAGTTATGACATTTTTAGCGAAGACTCTTATTACTTAATTATTTTAACCGTCCTTACCAGCATCCCGTGGTTGAGCGGTGGAGCCCGAGCCCGGCAGGTCGCCCATTCTGTTCGCTGCTAAGCGCAGCGGGCCGGAAGCAACCCAACCCCACACGGCGTCTATCTGTGGGTTAAAGGGGAGTTGGGGCATCGATAAAATAATAAATGGTTAATTAACGTCGAAATCCATTATTACTGAATTGTGAATATAATCAATGAGTTAAATCGATAAAGCGTTGTGGTCTATAAAAGGGGTATCACATTTTGGGCTGTGATACAATAACATATATCTGAATTAAGTTGTACATTTTAATGCATTCATTTTGTTTTACCTCAAGGAGAAATGATCAAAACTTTAATCTTAAACAGTTCATTTTTCGATGATAAACCCAATCATTTATATGAGTTGTAGTTCATTTAATTAATTAAGGCATGAGGTATTTCTGATTTGTTTTATCTATTCTCAAGCGACTTTTGTACCGTGGGCTCACTGAAACCAAGCATAACTTTACTATGAGCATAAACCTTATTAATATGTACCGAGTTAAGAGTTTAAGTCATAGAAGACTTTTGGTTTTTATCAAATTCATATCTCTAACACTGGAGGAGGTGATTTTGATTTATTTTTCTTTTTCTCCACCAACTTTTGCACCGCCCACACACACACATGGCAAGTAAAGCGCACACGCATTCGTGCTCTTAAATCCATGGACATAAAGGTGGACCTTCGGCTTGTTTGGGCATATTTAACAAACATCAATTAAAAAATACATACATATATTGAACATAGGAAACGGAAACTAATATATTTAAGCAATAGGCGCACAATTTGAAGTATTTATGAATAAAAAACTATAAATAAATACAAAAAACCACCTGTACTGTTATTTTTAGTTCGAGAAATGGAACATTTGATAGTTTTGGTCTAAAAACCGTCAAGGTATATCCATCTACCGTAAAAAAAATTTACCGATTTGTTTGACCAAAAATGTATATTAAATTAAAATGTTTTTTATCGAATACTGATTTTAATTTTAAGGCCAAATGGCAATCCACTGGTATTCCTTTAACTTGGATGTCAACCTGGTCCACCTTAAAGCACACACACATGCACGCGCGACCGATGTTGGTTTAGATGTCGATTTATATGTTGGTGTCCCAACCTTTGCGTCTCTGTTCTCCACGGATACAAAGCACGTCCAGGGCCAGCTGCAGGCGGAAAATTTCGAAAATGCAATCTTGCTGCTGGCTTAAAGCGACCACATCGAAGATTCCTGGCGCGAAATGCACTTTTCAGCAGGGAAAATCGTTTTTCTTTTTGGCCTGGAAAAGTCGAAACACACGATTGATACTAGAGATGTGAACATAAGAAAATAAATGTATATCGATATTTCTGAATAAAATAAATGTGCCAATATTTATATATCGATTACTAAGTGTTAAAAATATTGAAATAGGAAAAAATGTAACCTATTATACATTATTTAACATTTTAATTTGTAAAAAAGAAGAATAATTAAAAACATTCGTCCTTTGCTCTTAATAATATTATATTATTATTATTAAGACTTAATAACGGCTTAATCTAAAGCCAATAAATATATTATTTGGAATGAATTTGCTTAAACTGGCAGCTCGGCAGACCTCCAATAAACAAGTTTTTTTTTAAAAAATATTTTAAAGAACCCTATTGATATATCCCAGTTTTGGTCACACTATTTTTTATAGAGCCGTGAAAACATCGATATATCAGTTCCATCGTGAGTGGCCAACACACCTCTAATTTCTATACGCGACGCGACGAGACGAGGGAAGGCAATTTTCGTGAAGTTGAAAAGCCCGTAAAAAAGTGCAAAATAGTAACTAAATTTAAGTGCAACGTGTAAATAGATAGAAATCGGATCGCGATCATATTCCTAGCAGCGATTAATTCCAGATTATAAAGTGGAAAGTACGTGAATAGGGCGAGAAAAGAAAACGCAAAAACGTGAGACTGTGTGCGTGCGAAGAGTTTTCCGTCTCCCTCGCACCAAAGTGGAGCGCACTCAATTATTTTGTGGATGGAGTGGAACAACAACACCAATAATAAGAGCAACAATAAAAACGACGTCACAGCAATAGCAACAACAGCAAATACAAATGCAAGTGCAGAAAATGTTGAGGAAATCACAAAGAGAACGAAAATCGAGAGAACAATAGCGAAAGCGTTAGAATGTAATGCAAATGCAATCGATGTATTAAAATTAAATAGAGTACAAGTACAGCAATTTCATTGGAAATTCAAATTCGTGCGACAAAAGCGGACGATTGCAGAAATTTTCGAAACTTGGCAGCCATATTTACTACAAAAACAACGCCGTTGTAAAAATACGTGACAAAACGCTTACACACACATACACGCAGTCGGACACCCACACGCTCGCACATAAAAGAGAGAGGGAGCGAGAGAGAGAGAGAGAGAGAGAAAGAGAGACGCGAACGTGAATTAACAAACAAACAAAAATATTTTGCGAAAGGACAAACACAAAATCAATCCAACAAAGTGTATTACATAAGCAAACGGCGCAGATATCGAAATATTATGGAAATTGCACCACTGATCAATAACGCCGTCGCTGCCGTCACAGCCTCTGCCGCCGTCGCTGTCTCTGCCTCTGCCAACGTCACGCGCAGCAGCAGCAGCAAGGAGAATGATAACGGTAAGCGGGGCTTCAGATGATAATCGCCCCATAAGGGTCCAAAACAAACCATACACACGTACAGTAATCACAGGAGACAGTGGATACTCCACGAGTGAACAGTTTTTTCTTATGAAAATTGCGTTCACCGTTCTGTACCTACCCCAATTTTTGTACCCGTTACTTGTACAGTATAAGGGTATATTAGATTTGTCGAAAAGAATGTAACAGGTAGAAGAAAGCTTTTCCGACCCTACAGGGTATATATATTCTTGATCAGGACCACTAGCCACGTCCGTCCGTATGAACGCTGAGATCTCGTAAACTATAAAAGCCAGAAAGTTGGGATTTTGCATGTACATATGTATGTAGATTCTTGAGCTTATTGCGCAGCGAAAGTTTATTCTAGCAGGGTGCCACGCCCACAAACGACCATACGCTCACGATTGGAAAGGTGTAAATGCAATATTGTTTTTACTATCATTATCTACATATATTCATGCCAAAAATGGTTCAAATCGGAAAAGGAATCGACGGTAGGTGGCGCTGTTTCGGGGAGTGCAATATTGTTGCTTTGCTGCTTAGCTGATTGACGGGTATCTGATAGTCGAGGCCGCCGAATGTAGTGTTCTCTCTTGTTATATATATTAAGATAGATGTACATTGTACATTCATATCTTTCTTCTTTAAAAGTTCTAGCAATTACATTTTTAACTTGCCTGTATCAAAGAATTGAAGATTTATTCCTTATAAGCTTCGGTCTGTATAAACTTATTTAGATATTGAACGTTATAGCTTGGCTGACTGCGTAAACATTTTCTATAAATAAATGTTCCTATAAACCCCATTACTTAATGTTATTAATGAGTGGTCAAAATGTATTTACCAAGTTCTTTGACTGGATTGGTCAAGAAAATTAGATAAGCAACTAACAAATTATTAGTTTATAGCATTTAGACTGCATTATTTACATACTTTTTACGAAAAGTTATTTTTGTCAATCCATTAATAAAGTGTTGCAATGCTATATTTTTCATATTTTATTTTCTAAATGTATGTATTAGCTTAGTATAAGTCCTTAACTGGTTCTCTAATTTGGATTCGCCGAGTTTAAACACCAATACGCAAATGTCCTCCCAAGTTATGTGAAATTAAAATGATAATCCCTAGTTTCATGTCTGTAAAGTCGAATATTTCGCATTTATAGAAGTCGGACTGTGGTACCCAGTACACATTGCACAAATAGCCACCCACACCAGCTAGTGTGCATGTGCATGTTGCAACACTTTTCAACGGAGGTCGCTGAACTGCGCCGAGTGTTTTTTCAATTGTTTTTTAGAGGCCAAGCGAACGGAGTACGACAACAATAGCATAGTAATAGTAGTAGTTTTGCCTTTTCCCTCGCTGTTTGTTGTTGCGCAATTGGCAGCGCAGATAGATCATTGGCCAGCGATTGCAATTACTCAGCAGTTCCTCAAGGTGCTCCATAGCAAAATAGCATTTGCCTTAAATTCCTAGACAGCTTGGCAACCCGTAGACAAAAGGTTATTTTAAGGCCCTTGCAGTTGTGCTTTTCAAATCAAGTAGTTAACCTTTGAAGGCAAACCCAGAAGATTTTCAAAAATGCAATAAAGTGGTAATTTGCTTTGGAGCAAAACGTTAGTGTGACTAAACTCTGTAAACTATTAGTAATTTATGGGTATGGCTTTCGGTACACTAAAATTTTGGTAAATATCATTCCGATAGAACACGTTCAAAAAGATTTAGAAGAAAAATTATATAATAACATTTAGTAACAATCAGCAAACATAAATTTTACAACCTAACAGGAAAACACTTTAATTGGACTAACGAAAGATTTACGAGATTTTTTGGTATTATTATTAATTGGAATTTGTACACATAACGTACGTAATTCTAAATACCTCTGCTAAAAATAAAAATGTTATTGTAATCAGCTGAAAATACAAAACTGAAGTCAGGGGTGCTATGACACCACCGAGGGTCACGTAAAAAAAGTGCTTTCAGAAAATCGGACGAGAAATAGATACCTTTCAGCTGTTTTTGTAGTTCCATTAACTCTGGGTGTTTTTATTACTTTACTATCAATTCCTTGGTGTCGTGTGCTTATCTCCAAGTGTTTGTTTTTTTCTATTTCAAGTCAACAATCTGGCGCTGCTCGCTTCGGTGACGTTACAAAAAGTGCTAAATATCAACAACAACAATAACCAGCACTGCAATAACAAAAACCGTAGCCACAGCAGCGATATCAAGCAAAGCGAGCAACAAAAACCACAGCAACCACAACGACGATACCTCGATATTAAGAGCGAATCCGATGTATTAAGCCAATTGCTAAAAACTGGAGCAGTTTTCACCCCCACGCCCACAGCGCCCATTGCCATCGAGAGGAAGAAGCAGTCCCAGCAGCAGCAGCAACACCAATATGCACAACAGCAACAGCAACATCATCATCAGCAGCAGCAATGCAGCGCACAGAAGCAACGCCTCAACTCATCCATATCATCGACCCACTCATCGACATCAACGAACTCCTCCTACGGCAGCTCATCCTCGGAAGATGCTGCAGCTGCATCTGCCACATTAGCCACCACAACACCAAGAGCAAACACCACGAAGGCGTCCAGCATTAAATTGCCAGAGAAATCGAAAATTCCGTCCGATATACTTGATGATCTGGCCAGTCGGTTTATAATCAATGTACCGGACATGGAGCTAAATAATCTAATTCGAATGTGTTTTCAAATCGAGCTGGCACACTGGTTCTATTTGGATTTTTTTTGTGCCCCCGAAACTGGCGAGGATGGCGAGACCCCGAAGAGTGTCCAGCGAAAGCTGCCAACGGTGGGCATCAAGCAGTTTGCCATGCAGTTGTTCCAAGTGAGTATTGTTGGTTGTTTTTCTCGAAATGTAACTGAAACTTATTGGTTTTCCAACAGCACATTCCCTTTCTGAACAAACACTTTGACACCGTGGATCAAATCCTCGACCAGTGGAAGAACTACAAGCTGTCGGTGCCCACATATGGAGCTATTTTGGTGTCCGAGGATCACAACCATTGCTTGCTAGTGCAGTCCTATTTTGCACGCAACTCCTGGGGATTTCCTAAGGGCAAGATCAACGAGAATGAGGATCCAGCTCATTGCGCCACGAGAGAGGCAAGTCGGGAAAATGCGAGGACAACATTTTCAAACTAGTTATTGTTATTTTGTTCTTAAGGTCCATTGTTAATAACGTGAACTAAGCGAAAATGTCAATTTCTAAATACTCCTTATTCCATTCTCAACAACAGTAATTAAATTTGTTTTTAGACTTGAGATATTTAGTAGTTAGAACTCAGAAATATGACAATTTGATTTGAAAATAGTTTAGATATGGTATGAATTTTAGTTTAATTGATTCAAATCCTTTGCCTTGCAGGTCTATGAGGAAACCGGGTTCGACATTACGGACATCATCGATGCCAACGACTACATTGAGGCTTTTATCAACTACCAGTACACGCGGCTGTACGTGGTGCGAAACATACCGATGGACACGCAGTTCGTGCCCCGCACCCGAAATGAGATCAAGTGCTGCGACTGGTTCCGCATCGATGCGCTGCCGGTGAACAAGAACGATGCCATATCGAAGGCCAAGCTGGGCAAGAACTCCAATTCATTTTTCATGATCATGCCGTTCGTGAAGCGCTTGAAGAAGTGGGTGAGCGAGCGGAAGGCTGGAATTGAACCGCGTCGTCGCAAATGCTCCGGCCAGCAATCGCCAAAAGCGACCTCGCCCACCAACATGAACGGGAGTTGCAAGAAGGACGTCGCCGGTGTGCGAAATGAATCACGACGTCAGAGACACAAGTCAATGGGCGATTTGGATGGTGTCAAGTTAAATAATCTCAGTGGCAAGGTGGCAGCTGGACCAGGAGCGGGATCGGCAGCTCCCGCCTCCGCCACCGCTGCCATCAACTCCATGAACATTTGCAATAGCAATGGGAAACGCAATAAACAAAACGCGGCTGCGGGCAGCAATCAAACAACGCCACTAACAACAGCAAAAGCAGTGACGTCAAATGGAGCCGTCGGAGGCGGCACAATATCCTCCAAGCGTCAACTGTTCCACAGCCAAAGTCAGAACGATGCACAGCAATCGGCAAGCAATGAGAAGGTGAGTTCGGGGTAGTGTTTGGTATGCATGTGAATTACAAAACCCTTATTCTTCAGCAGATTGTCAGCTCCTTTGATTTAATACGCAAGGAGAAGCAGCAACAACTTAAGGCAGCTAAGGCGCAGAAGCAACAGCAACAGCGATTGCGCACCAAGTCCCAGAGTGATAAGCAGTACAATCCACAGCAGCCAGTGAAGATCTTGGGACAACAGCAACCCACAACGGGCATGGATTTGATAGCTATGCTATCGGCAGCGGCCGCAGCTCAAAAGACACCAAAGAATGAGCAGCCAGCACAGCAGCAGCAGCAACCACGACCACGACCAGCTTCTGTGTCGCTTAACTTTGGAGCAGGAGGTGCCGCAGGTGCCACACCATCTGCTCCGGACGCCCAGGACATGCACAAGCTGCAGCGTATGGCCTCGGGCACAAATTTGAGAATTTTGAAGCGAGCCCAATCACAACAACCGCAGCAGTTGCAACTACAGCAGCAACAGCAGCAGTTGGGCGTTGACTTTACGCCAAATTTCAATTCGTGGACGAATTTCTCCTTCACCAAGAACTTCATAGCAAATGTGTTTTGCTAAACTTCTCTTTGAGTCAATATCTTCCTTTCAAAATTCTGAATTATTGCATTTCCCAGCAAAAGACCAGGTTACCGGGGACACCGAATAGTTTAGCAGGCTCTGTGGGCTTGACAGAACAGAAACTTTGGAGACTTGCTAGAAAATGAAAGCATGCCAACTGCATTTAACAAGTTCATTTGTTATAAAACTAACACTACAACTACCAACACTATAGACAACTAATCATGTCTAGTCCTAGGCTTTGGAGACTATGTATGAACGTAAAGTTTCCCGATCTCTAAACTGGAGGTTTAACTTTTCCACACACATATTCTACGTTAGGGAACTGCAAGCAGCACACTTAAACTCAAAAATTGAATGCGATCAATTGAATAAGACATTTTTAATACGAAAAAGAACAAGATTTTCATACCAAAAACCACAAGAAAAAGAAAAATAACGAGAGTCTTCCGCTCAGCACATGTAAAGTAATATTTTGTAAAAACACTACAATCGCTGTTCGACTTTAAGACCCAAGTGAGACCGAACAGATTGAGTATAATTATGTTAGAATCCTTCCTGTATAAGCTAAAAAGTGTTTATTGTGAGCCAAGTGAACCAAGCCTACTTCGAGCCGAGTGCTCGCCGTTTGAACGTATTTTTAGACAAAACCAACAAACTAAATCTAACTTAACTAAAGCGTAGCTTTAACCCGCCCCGAGTACAGATCGTTGTGCTAAGATTTCAAAGTCCATCGTTGACTTTTTGCAAGGGCGACGAAACGCTTCTGCGGGGCGAGAATTAAATGATAAACAAATAAAGTTTCTGGGCCGTATTACTTACTGCCCGCCCCCACCTAAGAATGATAGACGAGAGAGATGTGTAAGAAAGAATACAAATAATAACAATGTAAATAATTAAATTGTGATATAGTATTTCTTAGCACAATTGTGATCTTAACAAACGGCTGGCAACTACAAAAACTTTTATAAGCGAACCACAACACCATTTTAATCAATCAAAAGGAATGCCCCGCACACAAACTGTTCAAAATTGATACCCACTTTCCCACAATCAGGGGCAATATCAGGCATATCTCAGCAGTAAAATGTTTCGTCAAAATATTTTTGACAACTTGGGGAAATGCGAAGCTAAATATGAGAAAACAAAACATTTAACGAATTTAAATTAGTTTAAAATTGAATGCTTACAACGTCTTCAATCATAAAAAATTTGTATGATATACACGAAGAAAGGCAAAAGTATATGAGCGATTTGTAATTTAACGAAAACCAGAAGAGGAGTATATTTTTGTGAGCCATTAGTGCGTAAGAAAGAGGAAGAGGAGCCTTTTAAGAAGTGTTAAGTCTTTTGATAACTACGCGTAGAGGTCGTTGGGGTTCCCACCAGGCCGAGTTTCCTATAATTCGTAAGCATGCCGCAACATGTTATCTAACTTCTCCATCAAGCATAGTCTCCAATGTGTGAAACAGTTGCCTATTAGCGTTTATCTTTAGACTAAGCAATGATCAGCAATGTCTCCAAGGTCATAATCCCAGAGCCTATTAGTTTACAGCACTGAAAATCAAAAGAAGTTTCCTGTAACTCGGTCTTTTGTGTACAATTCGATACTAGTTCTTTAATCTTAACCACCAAAAACAAAACAATTTGCATTTGCTTTAAATCTTTTACCATTGACTTTTAAAGCTTTTTGAAAAGCCATATTAATTTTTATTTTATATGTTTACATAACGAGCTGCAAATTTGTTTTAAACATTTCTCTTTTAATTTGGATTCGGATTATATTTCATTTTTATCAAAAAACCTATAGTTTAACCTTTTATTTTTTGGAAACACTGCAAAATCCGTTTCCAGCCGCCATAGACAAATGCCCAAGGGAATTGACTATAATTTTGATCATTTTTGATTTGTTACCTTCTTCCTTTAATTCTAAAAATAAACTTAATTTCTTTGGACATTTGTCTGGGCCAAGCAACAAACAAACATCAAACTTATTCAGCAAGCAATGAATATCAAATTACAAACAAGAACAGCATTGTTAAAGCAGCATGAAAACAACAAGGAAACCAAGAATTAAATATTGTGAAATTTTGTTGTACAAAAATAATCAAACACAAAAGCAAAGTCGAACATTTTAATTATAAAACAGAGTCCAATCAAACCGATTACATTTGAGGAATTGCAATCCTGTTTGACAATTGACCCAAATCCAACCCGAAAACAATATTATAGTTTACATTCATCTTTGTGAAAACCATAGACATAGCGTTAATTAACTTTAGTGAAGGGCTCCTGGAACAACAACCGACAACATTAAGTTAATTTAAGTGAACGTTGGATGTGCGAGGACTTGATATACTGAAATCTTGCCAACACCTGAAAGTCATCACCGCCCGACGGTCCGAGTGATCCGAATACTCGCTCCAAGCTAAATTTGCTATGCATTTTAACCATTGTATCCGAAAATAAACCAAAAAGAAATCTGCAAACACGTCCAAAACAAAAACTGAGGTAGTGTGTACACCAGAATAGATTTCCTGAAAAGAAAATGGATCCGACACGAAATTTGATCAAAACACTTCAATAATCCAAGTTATTTAATTAAGTAATTATATTCTTGTGTACGCACCTCCTTCAAAATCATACGATATCAAAAAAAACAATGTAGAATTTAACGCCAAAACAACCAAATACGAAAAACGAAGTTAACTCTCCAATCAAGAACAATTGTAACGTAAAAAGATTACTAAATAACTAATTTGTGGCAATATATATTTCCAACATTTTTTCCCCCAAAATTCCGGCAATAAATTGATGTACCAAGTTTTAAGAACTCATTTTTCAATTATTCACTTGGGTATCTATGCGAAGAGACTTGTTTTGTTACTATTCGGGGTTGATTCTGATTATTTTATTGGAAACTAATCAAATTACGTATCATCACACGTCCGTATAGCTAATTTCTTTGGCCTTTTGCCTTGTCAACACTTATGTACTTGCCCTGCTGCAGAGATATTTTATTGGGCAGGCTGATGAACTGTCCTCCGCAGGACGGATGCGGCTGGACGAGCTTTAGCGGACGGAGAGTGCGAGCCCGCCGGGCCTCAAACTGTCGTTTGTCGTACGGCACCTTTCGAACATCCGGTTCCACCCGCTTTGTAGGATCCAAGGGCATAAACTGGCCCATCCGATGGAATCGCCATGGCTGTAAGTGCGTGCGCATGTGTATCATGAAATTCCCGGGCAGTATTTCCGCATTGCAATCGGCATGCGGGCAGAGGTTACCCCGACCACTGTGCCAGTTCATGTGCGTCGCAAAACGGGCCCACACCCGGAACCTTTGATTGCAGTTCTGATAGCGGCACTGGAAGACCTTTGCTTCGTCAGATTCGGTACTGTGTTCATTCATGTGCTTCTCGTAGGCTTCCCAGCACTTGAAGGACACGTTGCACGTCACACATATGGGATGTGAAGCACTGTGGGCGCTATTCTCGTGGCGGATAACGTCGAAGTATCGTGGGAACATCTGGTGGCATTTGAGGCAAAAGAATTCCAGATCCCTGCCACCGCATTTGCTCTGGGTATGCCCCATCGCCATGGTGTGCGTCTGTAGCTCGCGCAGAGTGGGGAAATCCGAGCCACATACACGGCAATAGTAGGTCGGATTCGGACGGGCCCTTCCACTGTGTACTCGAATCTGGGCCAGGATTTCGAGCACCTGGTCGCAACAAGTGCACACCATCCGGGTGGTTTTGGTCCTGTCCTTGAAGAGCTCGGTTATCGCCAAGCCATCGCGGGCCAAGCCCACGCTGAAGAAATCATCTGCCGATGGTTGGAAAGGGTCCTCCTCTGCCAGTTTCATATCGTCGTTTTGGTCTGATAAATCATCATCTTCCTCTTCTGTTCTCTCCATATCGTATTCTTCGGTTGATGTCTCCCCATCTTTCCCTGGTGATTGCTTCTCACCATCTTCCCCGGATGATTGTGCTTCATCTTTCACGGGGAATTGCTCCTCATAATATACGGGGGATTGCTCCTCACAATATCCGGGGGATTGCTCCTCATAATATCCGGGGAATTGCTCCTCATCATCGGATGACGGAACTTCAAACTTCACTTGAAACGCCTCGGAGTCGTCTATTTCGAGGGCTTTATCCCGGATATCTTCCTGGCCCTTGCTCCATTTCTCAAGGGATTCGCTCATACGCGAAACCTCATCCAAACAGGGCTCACAAAGGCACGAATCCTCCCCCAGAATGCCGATCTAAAAAGAGTATGTAAGTATACATATACATAACTATAGAACGTTTTTCGAACTCACATCAATTTTGTAGCACTCAAAGAGTCTTTGCAGCAGTTTGTTTACCGATTTGAATTTGGCCTTTTCAAGATCTTCCTCTATCGCCGGGTTATTCTTGCATAATTTGCAAACTTCATCATTTGACATTTTGTTCCAATTTGATGAAATTTATGAAGAAATTTAATTTTTCATTTCAATGACTTCCTCGATGTCGGCCAATCGATTCTATCGATAAGTGTGTAAAATGTGAATAATATTATCGATAGTTTGTAGAGCTGGTATTAACATCGATAATCAAATTACTTATCGTTTTGTTTAACTTTCGTGAAAAATTCAAAAAACGGTTTAAGAAAGTGTACGTGAAATCTTGTAAATCTTTCATTTAATAATGTTGTTGAAGAGTATTTGAACTTGAGTTTATAGCCACTTCTGGGTTACCCCGAAAAAAAACATATTTTCTTCATTTACATTGCTTTATTTTTCGATTCCATTTTCGAGATTTTAGCGTTCATACGGAGAGGCGGAAATGGCTAGATCAACTCGGCTAGTGATTCTGACCAAGAATATATATACTTTATGGGTCCAGTAGCCTAAGAACAGTTTTCGTCAAGTTAGTCGTCATTCTTACTATTAATATTACCAGTCCTAGATCAAAAGCATCAAAAATACAGCTTGAAGATATAACGATATAATTTAATACATTGACACGAAAGAGAAAAAGTTAGCAGCCACCTTCAGAGGTAGTATTATTATTATTTATATTGTTATAATGTAAAATTTACAGGTACATTTTAACTTAGCTACAGCTTGTAAGCTAAATGGTAGCCTTTAACTGAACGACTTTGCAAACAATATTTAATGAAAACCAAAAGGTGTTAGATTTAGAGTTATTTTTATTTCAAAAACAATAGCAACAGTTTATTTGTAAAAAGTGGTTCTTTAATCTTCATACACAAGTCATATAAATCACAGCACGATTTAAAATTTAAATGCATCATTTTTCTTCGTGACTCTAATTGTGTTTCTTAACTGCTGTGGTCTGGGTAAGACTCTTTGTATGCGTTCGATTGTGTTGAATAAGACTTGATTGACATACAAAAGCCTTTGAGCAGTGATTACATTTGAACGGCTTTTCACCTGTATGGATTCGTATGTGTATCTTGAGATTCGCTTTCTGGCTAAAACCCTTTGAGCAGTGGGAACACTTGAACGGTTTTTCGCCTGTGACCGTTTGCATGTGTAAGTTAAGACCTGAAAGACTTGCAAAAGTCTTTGAGCAGTGGTTACATTTGAACGGCTTTTCTCCCGTGTGGGTTCGTATGTGTACCTTAAGACTCGCTGTCTGGCTAAAACTCTTTGAGCAGTGGGAACACTTGAACGGTTTTTCGCCGGTGTGTGTTCGGAAGTGAATCTGCAAGTTCGAAAGTGTTACAAAACTCTTCGAGCAATGGGAACACTTAAACGGACTTTCTCCTCTATGTAGTTGAAGGTGTGCCTTGAAATAATATTTATTTGTATAGGCTTTTGAGCACTGAGTACACACAAACGGTCTCTCTGGTGCGGTACTTCGCAGGCATATCTTGAGAGCAGCCCGTTTTAAACAAGTCTTTGAGGAGTGGGTTAAGTGCTTTTTTAGATGATCCCGAAGCGATTTACTTTGGCGCTCTCCCGAGTGAACTTTTAAATGCTTTTGAAGAGTCGAGTCCTTCGTAAACTTCTTTGTACAGTGAGAGCAGTTGAACGATCTTGCGTGTACTTGCAAATGGTGATCAAGACGTGCCTTCTTAAAATAACTTCTTGGACATTGGGAACATTTGAAAACTGGACGATCTGTGTGGAGAAGCAAGTGTGTGTTAAGACTTGGGACCCCAACAAAGTACTTCAGACAGTGAGGACACTGACGTTTTCGATTAACTGAATGCACTCGCAGGTGACGCTTGACAACTGCCTTAGAAGCAAAAGTTCTGGGGCAATATCGGCACTTATATTCACGGTTCGAGTTAGCCTTGCTATTTCCAATACCGTCAACCTGCAAACTCTCTTCCGCCACTTCCATCTTTATGCCGCATTCTAAAATGGGAACATGCTCTTCTTCAAACACGTCTTCTTCAAGTGGTTCGTTCTTTACTTGGCACTGGGATATACATGGTTCCCCCACCACATGCATATCTTCGGCCACTTCATCCTTAACTGGAGAGACAGTCAGTCGAGCTCCTCCTTCGCTTTTTGATAGGTTATCTTTTGGGGGAGCTCTACTCATTTTTAACTGGCAGTAAAGCAGGGTGCTCCTCTCGTAAATATGCTTTATCTCTGATGCATTTCGCGCATCTTTTAGACAGGAAGGACAAATCATTGGGGAACCTAGCTCGCCTCTCTCAACTTTGAAGCCGGTGCACTCTGATATCATGATTGCAATGGAAACTCCAATTGCATGCGGCTCTTCAAATATGTTGACCATGTCGCCGCCATTTTCCAGGCAAACCCTGCATAATGACGACTCCATAACTCTGAAATTTAATAACATACATACATATTTTGAAAATATTACATGAGTACTTTCTTACGGGTGTATTTGGGTATATATAACCAGATTCAAAAATTCGCAACTTAAATGTTTGAAATTGTTTACATTTCCCCAAACATTTTTTTTAGAGATGTGAAAGGTATTCTTTGCTATCGAATATATCGTGTTTTCTGTTGAGGAGACCGTCGATGGTAATACACTTTTCACACTTTTTCTTAAACAAAGAACACATACATAAGTAAACAGTGCACCACAAATATTAACTTCTTTTGAAAATTCTACAAACAAGTGCGTAGACTTTTCTTATCAAAATATTTTTCATTGAATTGCGTTTCTTGGAAGTAAAATTACTTTAAAAAAAGTATAAGTAAAATTACCAAAAATATTATGTAGTTTATTTTTTAAACTTTCTAGTAACTGTTGCACACTACATGTCGCTTTGCGTGTGCGGTCCCATTTTTCGCTGCAGCGAGTTGTAACGTCCTTTCCGTCTCTTTCTAGCATGTGTATTTCTTGTTGAAGATAAAGTCGCCACAGCGAAAACCCCCTCAGTATGAATAGACTATAAAAAAGGTTATGTACACAAAGAATAAAACGCTTTATATAAAATTCATATTAGAATATGAGCTTATAAATGTAAAATATAAATATATATATATATATTTTAAAATATATATTAATATTGTTTTTGAATTGCTTTTATTAGTTCCCTGTAACTTAAATATGTCAAAACAAATTTTTTAATTTACATAGCTTTAATTTTTTAAATAATTTAATCATTAATATATTTCAAGTAACGACATTGAACGAAGTGGAACTAGTGAACGAGTTCCAATTTCCGATGGCCACCGACTATCGATGTGCCTAATCGAAAACCAGAATAGTGAACTAGTTCGGTTCGTGCAGCTCTAGTTCATTACAAGTTCGTGTGCAGCAGAACGCAGGATTTTTTTCGTTTCCTGTGACGTGAAAAGTGCACATAATATTGGTTCGAATTAGCTTAAGTCTAGTTAACTAGCCCAACAAATAGCCATGGTAGGTAACTCCTGATCGATGGAGGTGGATAAAGGTGATAAAATGCTGACGCAGTGATCGGTGTGGGTGTGGGAGTGTGTGTGAGCCGCGCGATACCTGGTGTGTGTGCCGTGTGGCAGTGTGTGCGTGTTAAAAAAGCGGCCGCCGCGTCACATTACAAAATTGTGCTTCGATTTTTCCTAATTGCATTTCGATTTTCCCCATTTCCATCAGTCGTTTGCGGAAAAGATAACGGGCCTGCTGGCACGGCCGAACCAACAAGATCCAATTGGACCGGAGCAGCCCTGGTATCTCAAATATGGAAGTCGACTGCTGGGCATTGTGGCCGCCTTCTGTGAGTTAATGCACATACGTACCTAAGTTAGCAAAAGTTAAGATATGTTTTATGCCAACCTATCCCCTTGAGGACCGAGAAAAAGAAACATCCGTGACATTGGGCGGCCCAAAAATATGTTGCATCGATTTTTGTGTACCACCCGTTGTTGTTGCTGTTATCTATTCGTAGGTGTAGTCGTGTATTTGTGTTTGTCCCATTGTGTGTACGCACGCTCTCTGACATTGATAAAGGAAAAGAGCGAGAGAGTGAGAGCGGAGAAAGGAAACATGGAAAAGACAACACAAAAAGGATACAGAAAATCGTACACTGAAAGTAAATCTTTGAGTGGCCCTACATAAAAGTTTAGTTCAAGAAACAGCATAACCTAGGGTTTTTATGGGATATCGTAACTGTAAATTTAACGAATATGGTTACAATATTTAAAATAAATACGGTAAAATATATTTCCTTTCTTACAACAAGGGTACTCCAAAATTTTTTGAAATGTAATATTACAATTTTATGTAAAAAGGAAAATGGTTAATTTATCATTTTTTTTAATGTTTAAAAATATAACCAATTTGAAAACCTTTGTCCTGCGCATTTCCATTTTTTCTTTGTGTACAGGATATTGCAAGTGTGTAAAAGAGCTTTTCTGTGTCAAGTTTGGCGCTCTGTTTTTTCCATATCGAATGTAATTCTCTGTGACCATTCACTGAAAATTCGCATTGCCTTTTGTTTTATCAGCATCCCCAGTTTCTTTTCCGCCCCTCTTTTTGTCTCTGTTTCGTATTGCGTATTTGCTTTGTTATCTGTACTTATTTAACCTTAACCCTTTAGATGCCCCACGTGTCATAACGGTAACATTGCAAAAAATGACTCAGAATCTCTTGAACTCAACAAACTAGGTTATTTTTCTTAGCTGTCAGAATTGTATTCATCATCACCAACAGAAGGCGTTCATGATTGCAGTTGAATGAACTTCTCAGAATTCCTAATCAAATTCCCCCAGCAATATTTTCGTATTTTTCATCAGAAGTGGTTTAAAATACAAATAGAAAGCTTCCTTGTTTCTTCTGGGTTCAATATTATACAGTTTTGCTTGCAATAACTATAAATTTAATACGCTACTGTACAAAAAACCATACTAAATTTGCAATCGATTTTAAAAATCCTTTTACTTTTTGTACAGCAAATGACATAAGTAAAAATAAAGATAAATTTTGAATTTCTCATTCATTTGAAATCCAAAACATATATATATGCATGTGTATAGAGCTTTATGTTGTTTACTCAAACAAATATTTTTTAAAATTAAGAAATTTATCATAGTGTCATTATCAAAGACTTTTTTGTACAATATTCTTGGAGTACTTATTTGTAAAATGATGTTCGTTTATTTTTTCATTTACTTACGAGTTATAAGGGGAAAAAAAGTTATAACATGGTGGTATTAAGGGTTAATCGCTCTTTTTCCATTGAAAATAACTGTTTGCCTTAGCGATTTTCTCACTTACTAAGGGAAATGGAGAAATTTCTATTCAGCAATTGTTGGCCAACAAATGTACACCATCCACTTAAAATCAATATAAATAGCTGAATACCTCAATTAAGGGAGAAAAACTCACTCGTGCGGCTTCGTCAATGAACCGGTTGTGTTTGCGTAAAATAAAACCAAAAGTCTATGATTAATAAATAATTTTATTAGCCGGTCCGTAGAGCACAACGACTTCTTCCACAAGTTGGGTCAGTTTGTCTGGCTTTATGAACCGCAATAACCTCAAAACCCAGATCGGATTTCGCAGAAGAATAAACAAAACTTGTTGGCACAGAATACATAAAGTTAAAATTGATCCATGAAAAGGAATCTTTTTTTATAAATGTAATATTTTGAGCCTAAGAATTTAGCTTTCCCTCGTGATCTTCCGTAATATTTTCTGTAGCCACTTTTATCCAATTATCAGCCCGCACCGCCATTTATTTATCTGAGAATTAAAGTCGTATGTGTTGTTTGCTCTTTGTTTATGCTTTTATCATAGACCAAATGCAGCTGATAAAATATTTTAATGTAATTTGCGTGTACGCCCCTGCGATATCAAGTAGAACTTAGAACATTCTTTCTATGAAAGTTAACTTACAATTTGCCCAACTGTTTTTAGTGTGTTTTGTCACGCTTCTGTGGCTGGCTATTGTGGTTAATTTATAAATAAAAGAGATCCGGTGGCATAAAAACGTTAAAAATTGGCACACATATATGAGTCAGCCTTGTCGATTAGATTGCGTTTTCAAATGTTTAATGGGCTCAGAGGGAGTATGTGATTAACATTTTTGGTCGGTCTCCTGGGTCAGTGTTTGAAGATAAGAAAATACGCCTCAAAAACATTTTAACAAAACTGAAATGGAACAAAAGAAATATTTTAATAAATGCGGAAAATAATATTGTTTACATTTTCCCCAAAACTTTTTTTTTACATTTTAATTTAATTTTGTCAGCTATTAACTAGTTTTGAAATTTAGTTTAATATGCTGAGGCATTTAAAACAAAAATAACAATTTAGTTAAATAATAAAACAACAACTTTTATTTGTTTACTGCAATTTGATAGCTGTTATCAGTAAAAAGTATGTATGGCTACACTATTCTTTGATAGCAGAGTTCTTATTATAGGTATAGGGTCTGTTGATTCATAGTGACACCTTTTAAATTGGCGATCACTTAAAATTGAATCACTTTAATTAAATAAACTTTGTGACATATTTGCTTTACAAGATATGTAAATAATTTAAAGTGACTTTGTAACTTAAACTTAATTTTCCGTCTTTCCCTTGCAGTTGCCATACTCTTCGGCCTGTGGAATGTGTTCTCTATTCTCACTCTCAGCGTTACCTGCCTGGTGGCTGGCATCATACAAATGGTGGCAGGATTTGTGGTGATGCTCCTGGAGGCGCCCTGCTGCTTCGTCTGCTTCGAGCAGGTGAACATGATCGCGGATAAGGTGGACTCCAAGCCCTTGTACTTCCGGGCCGGACTCTACATTGCGTGAGTAACAGATGGCGTTTCCCAAAATTTTTATAGCTTAATAATGATTTTATTATATTTTTAGCATGGCTATTCCGCCCATTATCTTGTGCTTCGGACTGGCCAGCTTATTCGGCAGTGGCCTGATCTTTGGCACTGGCGTCGTCTACGGAATGATGGCGTTAGGCAAGAAGTGAGTAGGAGCGCTAGTCTCTTTGGAAAAAATCGCAGTAAAATTCAGAAAATCGAAGCCAAAATCCGCATTTTAAGCAAAGAACGTGGGCCGAATAATAGCACATGTCAAAAGCTCGTCACGCTACATTCCTTAGCGTTTTAACAGTCTTCCGATCATTCAGAATGTGCTACCATTTGAATGATTTTATTAATTTGAATCATTATAAACAAAACATCTCAAATGGTCACATGTTGGACCTTCCTCTTTTAAAAAAGTTAGGCAAAATGCTAATAACGAATTCTTCAGATGAGAATGGCCAGTTCAACATAAGTTTCAAAAGGTCTTACTCCTTAAACTTTAAGGCACAGCAATATAGCAAAATCATTTGAAAATACTGTGGTAAAATCAACCTCTATTATAAGCTTTTATTTCCTTTATTCTTCTAAAACTTACTTAAAACATAGATTAGCCAAAAAAGAATGCTCGATGATAATATTACATTTTTGCACTTCCTAAAGCGATTTTCTGGATTCTAAGGCGATTTCTAACTATAAAGTGGGGGTTATTTTAGTTGCTTAGCAAGCGGAGGAAAGAGCGATTTTAGTTAGCCTTGCTAACCCATTTTTGCTAATCGAAACCAACTGTTTTCTCTATATTCCCACGATGTGCTTGCCACTGTGAAAACGCTTAATAAATATAAACTAACACGTAGAGCTTCTCGGGAGGACATGGCCGCCGCTGCCACATCGCCCACACAGATGGCCGGCAGTCAGGCGGGCGGTCAGATGCAGATGGGCGGCGATCAGCATATCACACTCATGGAAGATCCCGACGTCTGGCGCCCGACATAAATTCCTAGCCGCGCGATTAGTAACTGCCAAAAAAACCACAACTCTCACACCCTCAGATACAGATACAGATACAGATACATTAACAGATGAAGATAAAAAGACACAGATACTCAGATACACCCACACAGAAAACACAGCACTAGAAATGCAAATGATGCAACAATTGATCGAGTAACAAATATTTTACGGCGCCTAGTTTTTAGTGTTCGTTCCAAGGAAAAATGTAACTAGGAGGAAAACAAAATCAATACGAAGCAGCAATGTAGGGCATCAGAGAATAGAATACAGAACACCCCACCAATTACAAAAAGAAATTGAACGAAATTCTCATTATTGTTGAAACCGAGAGTGTTAGTAATCAAAGTGTTTTTTGGGCAAATGCATTTCCGTCATTCGTCCCTTTTTGCATGTCATTCGTATTCGTATTCAAATTTTTTAATGTCTTTCGTCGAGCGGTTGGTGTTGTTAAAAACTACAGTTAAATATATTATACGCATAGAGAAACTACTGATAACAATAACGTAATACACATGTCAAGCTGCAGTAAGCATATATTTTTAGTGAGAAACTATATTTGAAAGCTAACCGAATGCAAGAGAAACCTATAAGTAAACCACAGCTTCCACACCACACACTCTCACACACAGCTAAAGCTAATTAAAGAGCCACTGATGATATGGACAAGTGAATGTCGAGAACCTAGAGCAATATGTACAACTCAGAAAGTATTAACTTTATATGCTTTGCTTCGATGTAAACCATACAATTAAATGTTAAACGTTGTTTGAGGATCGATTTGCTCGCAAGATAGTCACAAATTGAAATTGAACATAATCAAGCATACAAATAGAATATATATACAACAAGTTGAGGAATTACCAGTTCTATTTTTTAAATGTTGTGAACAAAAAAACGTGTCCATTTCAATTTGAAGCATTTGTAGACAATTTTCTTTTTAGACAATCACTCGGTTAATAGGTTTTCTTTTTCGGGTTTCGTATGATTTCTTGTTTGCTAGAAATATGTGCTTTATTTTTCGTATACCTAAGTTATTTATAAGTATTTATTCCAATCGTTTAAACTTTGAAAGTCTGAGACAGAAGCGTTTTAAATTATTTTTATTGTTGCCTATTGGCTTCCTTATCGCAAGAAGCATTCCAAATCTGTTTATTTACACTTAAGTTATTGTCTTCTTTGTTTACCATAACTTTAAGTAGACATTATTTAAAAAGTACTCGCGAGAACTTGTTATATTAATAGCCTTCGCCAGCAACTGAAAATCTCACCTGAAGTTAAAATGAAACGTAATAAATTTGTTAAAATTTGTTAATCAATGAACGCAACACTAAAAATGGAATCATGTAAAATATTTCGTTAGCAATTGAACGAGCATGAATCAAGTACCAATGACTTTGTACATGCCACATGAAAACTGTCCAAAAACCTGCCGTTAAAGCCAAGTACAACCAACGGCGGCCAACAGCGATAATGAACAATATACGATTTACGCTCTAACAACTCGTTAATAACTTTGCTGCGTCCAAGAGATCACCAAAGGCAAATACATTTTGAGCTTTTCATATTGTAGTTCCTAACGAATTGTATATTTTTGTAGACTTTTTCCATGTAGAATATATTGAGTAGTCAATACGTATGAAGTATTTTTATTTTTGTACATTACAAATGAAATAAATTAGCTTAATTCCTGTAGATCCTGGCATTTTTACAAAAATTGTACATTTCATACTGTTATTTATGCTGCTTTAGTTTTTTTTGTTGGTTTGTCATTGGTCTGTGCATCAGTATGGACCATTCTTGCTGTTCTACCGTCCCTCGATCCTATGTAGGCAAAATCACAGTTTTTAGTTGAGCACTTGTAAACCCTATAATTTTGTATACTAGAATATAGAATATCTTAAACTGCAAATATCTAATAGATTCTTTAAATTCTTTCACACAGAGCGTCTTCTGAAGATATGCGGGCAGCTGCTCAACAGACCTTCGGTGGAAACACGCCCCAGACCAACGATCGAGCGGGGATCGTGAACAATGCCCAGCCCTTCTCCTTCACCGGCGCCGTGGGCACAGACAGCAATGTGTGATCCAGGAGCTAGCTGATCGGGATACCGGAGATTCGGGGAGCTGGGTGTGCCGTGAGAAAACAAGACTCAAACGCAACATTTGAAGGCAAACCTAACCAAGAGAACATCAGCAGGCAATCTACATAATCATGTGCAATTTCAAATTGTTCAATAACCAACGCAATGGAATCACAAGTGTTTTTAAATCCGATTAGCTCTGATCTCCTTCTAGAGCAATCCAAATTATTCAATCAGACGACCCCCCTTACGAGACCTATCGTTCAGTTAAAAAATCACGTTTAGTATTAAATGTATGTAAATGTTTATTGGGTTTAAATGCGTTTTGCGTCTTCTATATCCTATCAATTGTGTTGCCTGTGTCCCATCATTCCAAAATATTTGGTTTCAACTAAGTAGAAATTGCAAATAAATTATTGAACGACATCACTAGCGAGGTGAGAAAATCATGTAAAATTTATGTTTAGTCATAGTTTAAATATACCTTAAATATATTTAAATGCATAATACTAAAATGTTTAAATTAATGCAAATAAAACTATAAATATTGTATGTAAACCATATTAAAATTGAATTATACATACTTTAAATTATGTTAAATAAAATTAATTATACAAAGCGTCGTTGTATTTGTCATCAGAGATATGGGGCATGCTTTTTGGATGATTTAACAACTTGAATATTTTTATACCCTTGCAGAAGTTTGCAACGCAGTGAAGGAGTCGTTTTCGACCCCCTAAAGTATATATGTATATTTTAGATAAGGCATCATCTAGCCAAAGATAATATAGACTATGTATACTATGGTTTTTGATCTAGCCATGTCCGTCTGGCTGTCCGTTTCTACGGAAACTAGTCTCTCATTTTTAAAGCTATCGGGATGGAACCTTCCCGAGTCGGATCGGACAACTATATTTTATAGCTACCATAGGAATGATTAAAAACATATTTGTAAAAAAATGTAAAACAATTATAGCTTCGGTGCTCTTTGGCATATTAACTTCTACTCTTGGGAATATCATTCTATTAATATTTCAGAAGTTCGAATAAAATATAATAATTAATTTAAGAATAATACAAAGATTTTTATATTTCGACTTCGGTAAAGATATACGGTTGTAAACTAAAATGGAACATTATCTTAAAGCTTCTGCAATTATTTTTGTTTTTAAAAAAATCCGAAATGCTCTGTACATATAATGCTCGCACGGGAGCTACCTGCAAGGGTATAGAAACTTCGGCTTGCCGAAGCTAGCATCCGTTTAGGAATAATAATTGTATAGATATATTTGTAAATATCTTTTATTATTTTAACTTCTCACCACTTCTAACTACTACCCATAAAAACTAATTTTGTACAAATTGCTTGATGTTTAAGCTTCAGTGGAGCCGCTTTCATTACTTTTGGAAGATGCTGGTCGATATTCAATGGAGTCAGAGATGATTATGTCGGATGCATCAACGCTTCCGTCACTATCGTCGTTTGCAGGCTCATCGGAATCTTCTGATAATTCCCAACGATAACGACGATCGCTAATAGCATCGTTGTCCTGGTCCACAACTTTGGAGGAGAGACTAGCGGCGATCACCATGGCGAGGACACCTGAATGGAAAGATCGTTGTTAGATGAACTTGTATCCTTCTCCTGGCTTTCTTCTCCAAACTCACCGAAGAACAGTAATAAAACCTTGTTGGACTGCATATTTGATGATTGATTATAGCTTGAGATGCTTTCGATGCTAAGTGAGCTCTTGGCCCAAGCTTATATACCCAAATTTTTGCAAAAGCCTTGCGATTTGCCTGACCCAACAGTCAGTGTTTGACTAATCCAAGATCAACGGATCGCCCTACAATTCTATATAAAAACAACTAACTAAATATTAGCATAGCTATTGAGTTTGAGGTCTCTAGAGAGTGATCAAGGTCAGCAATTCGGGGAGCGCTTAGGAACTTTGAGAGCTAGAACGGAGCTTAAGGTCATAAACGGTCTTGGTTAATTTAAAAATAAAACAACTTATATATATATACTAATTGGGGACACTTAAATCGTATTCTTATATTCACATTGACTTTAGGTATCTTCATATATTCTTAAAATATGAAAAAATTCTTAAAAATGGAAAAATATATTTTTTTCTTTTTTAAGATTTGTGTTTTTATATGCATGTTTTTAAATACAAATGTAATCCTATAACTAGTTTATTAATAAACAGCTTCGAAAATGGTTGAGTGAAAATATTTTCACAAAATTTAAACTCAGCAAAACAGAAAAGGTTTTTGGAGGAAATTAAAATTGACTGAGTTATGAAAGCGTCATCAAAAGTGTTGATTTATTAAATAAGTGGTCATTAGACTGAGAGCAATCGCGTACGAAAATTGTTTATTATTGTTCTCTGGAGAACAATAACAATCATTTCTTAAAATATAATTATTGTGTGTTTCTTATCTGCCAGAAAAATATATGGCGGGCAAATCGTTCGTTTGAATTCGAAAGAAAATTCCAGCCTGAAAGTATGCCACACTTCGCTAAAACAGGCGAATTCGATAGAGGTTAGGCGAATTTGAAAGGAGATAAAAATGAGCGAATTCAAAGTATAACTTGTCATTAAGAGCATACTTTTGGGGGTACCAGTAAACATAAGATTAATATTTATTTTGTAAAGCATAACTTTGGGCAATAATTTTGTCAGAATTTGAAAAATCGAGTAAGAATTTTTTTTTAAAGATTATTAAACAATTTTCGGAAATCAAATAACTAAAATCTTTAATTTTTGTTTGATAATATATATAAACAACACATTATTCCATTTCTAAAAATCTAAAGACATCAACAATTTTATGAATTTATAATTGTGGTAAGAGCATATGATATCCCTTAACATAAAGCAAAGCTTCAAAGTGTACAATTTGTATAATAAATAACAGCTTATTTTCTAAAACAACTTCCTCTTGCTTTAAGTAGTCTCGTTTTTGAATAGGTAAGGTAAATTATAGGTAATGAAAGGATCTGAAAGGTTTAAATAATAAATATGAATCAAAAACATGTAGACCCTGCACAACAGTCAATAAAAATCATGGTATAATAATCATATTAGGATTGTCTATTTTTCTGGGGTTTCCAGTTCAAAAATTTCAATGATGATATTGATCCGTTTGGATAAAGAGGATCCTCAATTGATTGAGCCCACATAAGTTGAGCATCTGTCTAGACATCCTTTTAAAGAAATGCCTGGGGATCTTACCTTTTTACGTGACTCAATGTAGCAGAAAATCCTTTTGTCTTCGCCATTGTATCTTAGCAATCGATCGTAAGTCTGCCTTTGGGGCAAAGTATCGATTACGCAATTTGATTGAGCAGGCAAAATAGTTCGGTGGCGGAAGATGTGGGTCAAGTGTTTGGGCAGAGGGTAGATTTCGGATGAAAAGACGCCAGATACAGATATTCCCACATCGCATATAGGGAACCCACCGAAACGCTTTCAAGATACCGAATTTTCTCTGGCTAAAGCGCCGCAGGACAAAACTCTGCGATGACAGCTCAATCTGTGGAGTGTGAAGGAATTTCTCGGCTCGCAGCGTGAATTTGGAAATGGTCCGGTTTTTGGGATGCCTGCTGCTTAACATATTAGCACAAGGGACAGCTGAAAGTGTCAACAGTTCTTGCCAAGCGAAGTCGGCGAGTTGACAGACGAAAATCTGTTCCCAAAGCCAGCATGAAATTTGTACTAAAGTTGGCAGCAGGATGCCGACTTCCCGCAGGATACCCAGCTGTTTTTTGGCGGCATTTATTCCATTCGCCACGGCTTTTTTTCTATATTTTTCCAGTGTACCTTTTCCGCCAAATGGGATTAATTTGAGATTTTTTAAATCGAATAGCGCGTAGCCGCCTTAAGACTTTGCTTCCGCTTTTTCCCCTCCTGCCTGCTAAATGGCATTGTGTTCAGGATCTGCTGCTCCTTTTTTTCCTGGCTAATCTCTACTGCTCACATCTCGGCCAGCTGCTCCGCACCGTTTGCCTTTTGTGGCTTGACCATTTCGCTTTGTTGTACGCCTGCAACTTCAAAGGACGCACGTCCTTTGTCCTTTTTGTCCGTTCATTTGCTTAAACGCATCTTATCCTGTTAAAATGTGCGCTCCGGCTTTCCGTTTTGCTGGAAAATTGATCTTTTTTGCAAATTTCCTTCTCGGCTCCTGGTCTTCTGCTCTTTTCAGAACGCTCTCGAGTGCACACTAATTGAGATTTTCCTCCTTTTACATTTTCATTGCGGGTAATGCAATACACGAGTTCCGCTTTCAAGTCGACGACAATGGTTTTCTATGCCTGTTCTGAAGAAAAGTTTTTGGAAAACCATTTCGAAAACTAATCGGCTATTGTAAGGTGTTCTTTGGGTTGGGGGCTACTGTGCTGAATTTCATCCATTTAATACATCTTTTGTTAAGAATGAATATTTCATACCAATTCAACTAAGTTGCAATAGTTTTCATGAAAACTTATAGTCTGAGTTAGTTTTAATGGGTTAGAGAAAATAAGGTTGGAAAATAAATACTATAACGAAAATTAGTTAACTTAAAGTATTTTTATTATTCGATAAATAATATAAATAATATAAAAAAAGAAAGAACAAGGAAGAACGCTATAGTCGAGTACCTCGACTATCAGATACCCGTTACTCAGCTATATGGAGATATGCAAGCAGCAAAGCGAGATTAAAATGCGCCACCTACCGGCGGTATACAGATTTAAGCGTTATGGGCGTTAGAGTGGGCGTGGCAAATTTATTTTTGGATCAATCGATAGGTATTGACGACACCAATACATTTCAGCTCAAATTTTTCATCTAGCATCCAAATTGTGGGCGTCACAGGTTTTCGCGGTTTGTGGGCGTTTAAGTGGGCGTGGCAAACTTTTTTTTAGGTCAATCGATAGGTATTGATGAGAACAATACATTTCAGTTAAAATTTTCTATCTAGCATCAAAACTGTAGGAGTTTCAGTTTTGGGCGGTTTGTGGGCGTTAGAGTGGGCGTGGCAGTCTACTGAAACAAACTTGCGCTGCGTAAGAAGCTCAGGAATCTGTACGCCAAATCTCAATAGCCTAACTCTCATAGTTTCCGAGATCTCAGCGTTCATCCGGACAGACAGACGGACAGACGGTCAGACGGACATGGCTAGATCGACTCGGCTAGTGATCCTGATCAAGAATATATATACTTTATGGGGTCGGAAACGCTTCCTTCTGCCTGTTACATACTTTCCGACGAATCTAGTATACCCTTTTACTCTACGAGTAACGGGTATAAAAAGTAATTATTAAGCCAAATTTAAATATCAATAATGGATTGTCATAAAACCTTACAATATAATAATATATCAAAGCAATAAACCAACATTTTCCACACCTGAGAGATTCACCAACAAACCGCTAAACAAAAATGTAACAATTAAAATGGCTGAGCGGGCCATACAATTTCTGTTCGGCCAATTAGATGTTCTAAAAGCCATAAAATTATTATTATATTGTTAGGTGACTTTTAGATGTCCCCATCCACCTTCTATTTTTTTAATTCCGAGTCCAATTCGAGTTCCATTTACATGTTCATGGCACACGCAGCGCATTCATAACAATATTTCATCAAAAATTCAAAGCACCTCCCCCTAAAAAACATGATTATTAATTAAAATTCCCAAATCAAAATCAAATTACGAGTAAGGCACAATAAAAAACAAGAAACATGAATAAATTCCCCCAACAGAAATATATATTTTTTTTGATTGGGTCGAGGTTGGGGAGCGATGTTGGCAGCCTGTCGCCAGCGGCTTCCGTCGCCCAACTTCTAGGAATTCCTGTAGCGGCAAAATGTGCTCGGAAAATGCATATATTATATACAAATTAAATTATGCATAATTTCCCTGTTTTCCTCTTTGTCTTCTGATTTTGTTGCTGGTTGCATTTAAACAAAAGTAGCGTAGGGCACCCAGCACCAAAACCATAAAACTGTCATAAGGCGCTGCCAACGAAACCGAGAGGAGGCGTCCTCAGGAATCGGGAATTATGTTCTTTTGGGGACCCATGTGTGACAAAGAAATACTTCGATATTACGGAGGGGTTAGAAGAAATGGAAAGCATGTGCTTCCTGGGGCGCTACACTAAACTACTCGGTTATAAAAAGCAGGTTTGTAATATTTTCCGTGTGATTACATTTTGTATATGAATCTTTAAATATATTTTTTAAAATTTTCCATTATAAAAATGGGTCAACAATAATATTCATACTATAATGTTTATTTCAAGAAGTATAACTTTACATTTTGCCATATTTAATATTTATTTTGTTTATATTTATAACAAGTTATTTATTTTATGCTTAAATTTGAAATATTATATTTTGAGATATACAAAACATATACAACGATTTCCAAGACAGGTATTTCATATTAAGATTTTGCAATATTTTGTGAAAAGTAATATTATATATAATATAACTTCTGTACTAAGATACCAACATTATTTTATCCTCAAATGCTGCCAATATTCCAATAACTATTTTCTCGAGAACGCATACTTTGCTCGGCAGTGTAATACAATTTCCATAAATTCTAAATGTTTTGTGCTCAATTAGCGTATAACATTGTCATAACCTTCCGCCAGGCGCCCTATCCGCAGGCCCGGATCCAATCCAAACCCATTCCCAATCTGAATCCCAATCCCAATCCCATGCCCATCCGATCAACAGGTAAAAACTGATTTTACATGCGGCAGAAGGACCGCCGACCTCAGCGGGGATAATGCTCATTTTCATTCGGTTTCGTTGGAAAATTGTGTCTGACGTTGGCGCAAAGTGCCCGGGGCATAGTTTTCCC